CCACACCTATGGGTTGTGCCACGCCCCCTTTTACAAACTCATTTATATATGCCGTACTATAAGCGCCTACCATAGACATGCCTGCATACCAAATTTCAAGTTCGTGGGACTTATGGTTCCGAAGTTATAGTTGATGAAAAATTCCACGCCTATGAGATGTGCCACGCCCTCTTTTACAAACTCCTTTATATATACCCTCCTATAAGCACCTACCATTTAAATGTCTGCATACCAAATTTCAAGTTCGTGGGACTTATAGTTCCGAAGTTATAGCTGATAAAAAATTCCACGCCTATGAGATGTGCCGCGCCCCCCTTTTACAAACTCATTTATATATGCCGTATTATAAGCGCTTACCATAGACATGCCTGCATACCAAATTTCAAGCTCATGTGACTTATGGTTCCGAAGTTATGGCTGATTAAATATTTCACGCCTATGGAAAGTGCCACNTGACTTATGGTTCCGAAGTTATGGCTGATTAAATATTTCACGCCTATGGAGGTGCCAGGCCCCCTTGTAGGATCCCAATTTTTCACCCTATTTTATGCCCAGGAGTCATGGCAATACTCTGTCAAAATTTTGTTCGACTGTCCGTCCGTTTAGGCTGCAACGTGGCACATACATACATACTTCCACAAATATATAGTAGATGTTTTCACTAAAATATTAGTTAATGGAATTAAAATTTTATGCGAATCCAATTTTTATTCCCATTTTTACAAAGCCCAAGTATGTATCCATACATATGTTCATGCCACAAAAATTATTTCATGAGTAGGTAATTTTAAACACACATATGTATGTACACTGGGAATCAAAAGTGGGTGTATGCTGTTTTTTTTTAATATTTGGTTATTTTCGACGGGTTTTGCGGTTTTATGCACATAACAAGTGGAATTTATAAAATATAGCGTTAATTTTTTTTACATTTGTTTGCAAACGGTCATTCGCTTTTTATTTTACAAGAAATTCCCTTTTACTCAGTAAAAAGTGCAAAAAGCCATCAGCAATAAAAAATCATTAAAAATCAACCCGATTTTTTAGCTGCTTAAAACTTGATATTGTTCCACTAAAATTAAAAAACCGATCTACCTATTTTATTGAAAAACATTGAAAATATTAAACAAACACACCGTGCACTCACTTTTGATTGCCAATGTACATACATGTACATTAGGCATATAACAAATGTTGACGAAAAATTTGGCATACCCCCACGTGGTGGCAAATATTGTACAAGTAATGAATATCACTTTTTCAGGTGATTTCGGTTCAAAAACGTTCCGCGCAAAAATGGATTTCTAAAAAAAGTCAGATTTTTTTTTAATTTTTTTTAATATTTTTATTTTTACATTTTTGTCAATTGTTATATGAAATAAGTTTTAAGTTTAAAGTATGTGATGATTTACACAATGGTAAAATGTCTTGCACAATTTTAATTGCACGCTCTGCGCAGATGTTACTTCGCTGAACTTCCTCAATAGCTGATGGTTTATTTACCCAATGTCTGAGAAAACATTCATTTGCTTTTGTGAAGCCGGCCAATACAATACATAATTACATAATTCGAACAATGGAATGTCCACATTTTTTATACATTGTGTTTTCTAGCTAAATTTTCTTTCCACGTATTACAATACTTTTCAACATTTTTAGCACTTGTCTTAAACATTTTTACACAAACAAGATTTAATTATCCCGATAAAAAGAGATTTGAAATATTTATTTCAATTTCTAAATTGAATGATAAAACAAATGTGCTTAAGATCACACAACTGAAGTAAAACTTTGTTTCGTCATCTAACGGGAAATCATTCAACTATCGTAATCTTTCTTTTATCATTCTTGCATAGAGAACATTAAATAAAAGAGAAGAAGTATGTAACTACGCTCTCGTCTCGTCAGATGTAAATACATTGTCGCTGTTATTATTATTTGACTATGCGAGTTCTTGAAAAAATTGCTTTTTCTTTTTTAAATTTTTTAATATTGAATCAGAATTTTCTGAAGAAAAATTAGTTTGGGATGGGTGGGGCACTTCCCTTAGGTCCATTAAAAGGCGTTTGGAATAATAGGAAGATTATTAGTTAAATAAATATTTATTATTATGAAGAAAAACGTGTACACTGTACAAAACTTTTTTTTGTTTTTTTCAGCAGTTCTGATAAAAAAGTAATTTCGTTTTGCGCGGAAACTTTTTTGCAATTTCGCAAAAAAAAAAATAATGGGGGTTCATACTTTTTTATGCTCTATTCGACTATGGTATGCCGTTTTTCGTATTTGCAAAAATTGTAAAAAGTTATATGCCTAATGTACATATGTGTGTAATTTTTATGCAAAACTATAATTTTTTTAAATTGTATTTGCATCTTCACAAAAAGAGAACAAGTTAAAAAATTTTACAAAAATTACAAATTAATGAAAATTATATGAAGATTTGCCATATTTTCGTTTATTTGCTCGCAACATGAAAATGGGCAGATTTTATGTTGCTCAACATTTTATTATGTTATCCACATTAAATTCAACATAATTTCTGTCTGTTAACAAGCGTTTCTACATTCCGTGGTTAACTTTTCCAACGCTGTTAATTTTTCGTCCGCGAATATTTTCCACTTTCTGTTTGCACCTTTTCTATCTATCTAAGTTCTCTGGTATAACAAAGGTTTGACAATGAAATAAAGTTTGGAAACTGTGACAACTGTGAAAGAGCTATACTAAATGTTGGACACAAATATATATCTATTAAAAAAAAATTGAAACTATTTTGTCCTGGAACCCTGGCTATACCGCAATTGCTAATATAAAGGTATGTTATTTTCTAACTTCACTACCAGGAGTGAAAATCTATCGAAGTTTTCCCCAGCAGAATTGAGTTTATTAAAATTTTGTCGAACTACTTCTACGGATGTGGAAGGGAGTTTTTCGAAATATTTCACAATTTTAAATGACCAGAGAAGGTCATTTTCGATTACTAATTTAAAAAAAAAAAAAACATTTTAATTTATACTGTAATTTCAAGATGATTGAAAAAAAATAAATAAAACGTTATTTGTTTAGCATATAGAAGGGCATATTTGCAAATGCTACGCGCCCACTGCAGCCAGCATCGGCCAATATCGGCTATATGCGGGCGATATTAATAAACACTTGTGATTATATGAGCGCTCTCACACATAAACCGATAACCGAACTGACATCGGCCGTTGGCATCCGTCAGTGATGATAAATTCTAACATGTTTGTTTTTCTCGTCCGATGTCAGGTGAAAAGTACCAAAATGGACTGCGAAAAATTAACTTATTGGGTGCAAAACCAAAAAATTACCTATAAAATCACATGTTTAGAGTATTACTACAAACACAGATTATATGTTCTTTATTTCATTCTGGTATAAAAAAAATTAATTTTTCTGTTTCTTGAAATACTGTATGTGTGTACATACGTATGTACGTATGTGTGTATAAGTGTGCAATTTATGTAGCGCCCGAAGTAAAGTCTTATCTCTGAAGATCTGTTTAAGTATGGAATATTCAATTCAGTTTGCGTCAAAGCGAGATTATTTTCTACTAAAGATGAATTATCAAACATTTCGTAAGCGCAACTACAAACTGTGTTTACAAGGATGGCAGTTTTAAATTAGCGTTGCAGCAGATAAGACAAGTGGAAATAATTTAGTGATTATAAGCATTTAAATACATATATATATTTATACCTTAATACACATACCTACAGAAAGCCACAATTTTATTTTTATTTCGATTGAAATGTTCGGTGTGCATAATATTTTTTCTCATCGACGAGTGATTAGTACGATTAATTTAAAATCGGTCTTTCTGATATTGAACATTTGCGACTGGGCATTAATATCTGCTATAAGTACGTCGTTTATCTATTAATTTATAAAATGTAACAAGTTGTAATTACAGATTTCCTTACTTTGAAGTCTGGCAAGCTAAGTGATTTGCAACTCTTTTAATAATAATAATAGATTGGCGCTTACACATATGTTAGTGTTTGGTCGAGCTTCTCCTCCGACTTGTGGCGTGCGCCTTGATGTTGTCACACAAAGCGGAGGGACCTACAGTTTTACGCCGACTCCGAACGGCGATTGTATTTTAATGAGAAGCTGTTTTTCATGGCAGAAATATACCCGGAGGTTTGCCATTGCCTGCCGAGGGACAACCGCTGTTAAGAAAAAACCCATTTTCTATATTTTTTTGGGATATTGCTATGACCAGGGCTTGAACCCAGGTGTTGATGAGTGAAAGCGCGCACTGCTTACCACTACACCACAGCGGCCGACTCTTTTAATACAACAAAAACAGTAAAGTTCAAAACACTTTTCATTAAAATGTGAAACCTTCCCAAAAGTCTTCGCGAACAGTATAGCGAACAGAAGGTGACGCATTCCGTAAACCGCTACTTTGGTTTTGCCGATTTTTACAGCTGTCGATATATAGTAAACAACGCCTCAAAAAATTTAAATGCAGTGAAATTCACTATACTTTCACTAAAATCACCGTTTTTCACATTTCCGTTATTAATTTTGATTACAAATCAAATATTTTCACAATTAAAAGCAATTAAAACACGTTTCCAATCGAAAAATGTAATATTAAGATAAGTGGCTAATCTCATATTCTCTTTTAACCTCTTATTTGGCTTAGCTACTTTGAACCCACAAATGTCATCGCCGTCGGGAGTGCGCAATCTTGTATTCTATCTAGGTAGTGGCCTGCACGAATATTACTACGTTTACACGTAAGCTATTAGCAAATAAAAATAATGTGGAAATACCAAACTCACTGTATATTCGACGGTGAAACATTCTTTTTCAACATTACCGTATTATAAAATGGCAATGATATGACCACTTTTGGGAATGATATGCCGTGCATTGTCTTCATTATAAAAAGGGAATAAGATTAACATAGAAAATGAAAATAAACCTAAGAATGGCAACGTCTTGCGCTTATTTGCAAATAATACCACTAATCAATACTAAGGTTTTTGCGTGACATAGTTATTTGCAAATAAAGAATTAACTCAGCGTTTATGCGGCGAAGGTTACCATTTTGCTATTTGAAAGCAATACGTGAGTATAAACTTAGTATATGTTAGTATCGTCCGAGTACGTTATTAACTAGTACTTCTGACAATTACAACGAAGCGAAAGTAGCGTAGTTACCCGGCATCAAGTATGATAGAAAGAAATATTACGCTCTTTTTGGTTTGAGTTTGACAGCCAGCTGCAGTGATGTGACGTTATAAGCGAAACGAAAATGTACCACAAAGAGCAAAAAATTGACATTTAAGTGAGAAAAGGTGATAATTTAAAAAAAAAAATGTGTTCAGTGATGAGTTTTTTTTTAACTATTTTTCAGACCATCCTTATTGAACCACTATTTTTCCATACCATTTGCTGTGGCTTTGGCAAAAAAGTTGATTAGTTCCTGCCGGCAATTAAGTCCTTTCAACCACAGAATAAATTTGTAATTTGTAAATACAATTCACAAAATTTTAACTAAGTTTTTATTATATAATAATTCCTTTTAGTTATTCAGTAATACAGATATCACGGTGCGTCTGAACCAAGATTATATGAAAGGTTGCCGGACATTGGACAATCTTGCAAATTTTAAAAGTATATTGTTCCAAGTTTCTAAAAACATTTATAAAAAATTTAAATCATACATACATGGCTTTTTCAGAAATATGACTTGGAAAATTGTTATTCCATTTTTTTTAAGACAGAGGTTGAGGTCTTATTTGTACCGTAGGTAGGGAGCAGAAGCCTTCATCCTAAAAGCGGGAGAAAATCTTGGATCAACACATCAGAAAACACGGAACAACCACTGAATAAGAACCAATTTGCGTATTAACCAGGCAAATCCACTGAGACTGCCATTCATAGCCTTAAGAGGAAAATTGAAAAGGTTCTGGAGTCTAAGAAAATAGCCTGTGGACTGTGGTTATAGACGAACTCCCCTTCCTACTGAACGATCACGGCTTTGAAACACAAGGCTATGCAGTGGGGATGTTAATTTTTCGGCTTTTTCCGATCCCGGGATTTTCGGGATGGCGTTGTCACAATCCCGGGATCCCGGGATTAGTCCCTGGATTTAGATATTCATTACTGTTCAACAACTTGAATCGAAAAAATTGCTTCTATATTGTTTGAGAAGCTCTCCTACCATGAAATAAATAATAAATAATTGGGTTTGAAACCCACTTTTTTATTCAAAGTGAAGTTTTTAATTTTTCTCTCTGATCGCAGGATTTATTTTGAAGGACTTTGTAATTTCAAAGATATAATTAATTCCAAAAATTATTAAAAACTTCAATTCAGTGTAGAATAAAAATGTGGGTAACAAATGCAATAAAAAATTTCATTAGAATTCAAAAAATTCAAATTTTTTGGATTCACAGGGACGAATAAGTAAGTTTTAGGCAGACAAAGTTAGAAGAACGAAATTAGAGGATTTTATCGAGTCTATATAAGCCCTTAACATATAATTTGTTCAAAAACAAATATTGCGAAATTTCAAGGATAAAATTTTAAAATGACATTTTCAATATTTACCAGCCCTTCTGCATTAGAAACTTGAATCTGTTTAAATTCTACAGGATTTCCTAATTAATTTTATACCCATACTTCTTCTCTAAGCATATTTCTCTGAAATTTTAAAATCATTTTTGAATTACAGACATCAGAGTGAAAAACTAAAAATGCAATTTTACTATATTTAGCCCATGGTTTCGCGAATATATTGATAACTGTGTTTAAAATTTACTATCGCTCAGTGTTAAGTGTATAATGAGCTAGACATTTATAAAGAAAGTATTAATTATTAAATAAAAAAAGAAATATGGCCAAGACTGGTCAAGAAAAGGAGTTTCTATTATTGCCATCAGTGCAAGTTTCAAACCCGAAAATCCCTGGGTTTTCGATACCTTAAAAAGTCCGGGAACCCGGGATCCCGGGATTAACATTCCTACTATGCAGACGATCCGGTGATCTGCGTAACAGGGCTGCATGGAGAAACGATCTCCAACCACATGCAACAAGAAATGCGCATTACATAAAAATGGTGTCGTACCAAAAGATTATCCATTAATCCTACGAAAACTACTCTGGTTCCGTTTACCCGGAGAAAAATTTTATACATGGAGTAATGTAATCTGGGCAGCACTAGAATATGTCTCTCAAATGAAGCAAAATATCTGGGTGTGAGGCTGGATCACACACTCACATTTGGATGCAACCGCCAATAAGGCGATAAGAGCCTTCTTAGCTGGTTCGCGACTTTTTGTGATAATTTCGCGACTCTCCCGCAAAGTAACCGTCTGGCCATTTAATACGGTTGTGACGCTGATAGTCACCTACGCATCCTTGGTGTGGTGGACTAAAGCGACACAAAGAACTGCTATTACAAAACAAAGCAAATTGCACCGAATGGTGTGCATTGGCATAACAGGTGCTACTGATGCACTCAGTTCTTTTGTGGAAATACCACCCTTCCCAATCTTAAGGGAGGCCACCTTTTCGGTACTGAGAACCTTAGCTACTTCCGAATTTAAAACAGGATATGATGTTAGGATCAAAACTTTAAGTTGGGAAAACTGAAACTGAATGGGCAGCTACCCCACCATTTTCCAAAGGGGACATTCGTACGATAGAGGTATGTAGCAGAGAATGTCTAAGAAGAGGTACAACTTCTAAAACATGTGCATTATGTCGGACGGGCTACCTTGCTAGCGCTGATTCAACACAACAACATCAAAACTTGTTGACGACTGCATCAGCACCCTAAATGCTCTTGGAATCAAGAACAGAGCATTAATGGCTGTTTGCAGGGGCATGAGGGCCACGATGGCAATGAACAGGGGACCCGCCTAGCAAAACACGGATCTACCACAATATTCCATGTCCCGAAATCCTTTTGTGGGTTCACCAAAGCACACTCAAATGGGATCATAAACAAGTGGGTGGACAAATCATTCCATAGGAGTGAAGGTCCAGGGTAAAGACAAGCTAAGCGGTTCATCTCTCCATTACAAGAAGCTTCAGGGAAGACCTTCGAACTCTCACTGGGTACCTCACGGGACATTGCTCACCTCTGTAAAATTAATCTTTCAGACACGAGCATCTGTTGTTTCTATGAGATGGACGAAGAAACGCGAGCACACATCCTTAGTGAGTGTTTGATAATAATACCCAATTGTTTATTTAACCATTTTTCTATAGTAACATTTTTTTATGGGTCCCCCATTGGATTTTATGTGTGTATTAAAATAATAATTGGTTATTATTATCGGTAGTCTCCTGAAGAGAAACAGAGTTTTCCGATAAAAAGTATTGATTTTTAAGAATACTATACTATTTCGACGAGAAATCGTTTTCCTCCACCTTAGGCGACCTTAAAATATTTTTTTTTTGAGAATAAAAAAAGGGTGTGAGAGCATCAAAACTTCGACTATACTTTTTTTTTAACCAGCCTAATGTATATCCAACATAATGTAAAAATGAAATTCTAAAATTAAAAGAAATTGAAATAAAAAGTTTTAAGACGCTTTTCTCGGAAGCCCTGTATGTATGATTTTCATTTTTGAATTTTTAGAAACTAATGTCCGGCTACCTTTCATTTAATCTTGGTTCAGACGTACGGTTATATATATATGTGCAATAAAATGTTTAATATTTTGGTCTAAATTTTTTCCGCTTAGGCAACTTCTGTTTGCTCTTAGTAACATATTTATTAGGGTGGGCCGAGAATCCGCCCAAAAAGCGGGTACATTTATTTAATTGACTCTTCTAAAATTTCTCAAACAAAATAACAAATATGGTTTGTTTTATAATTTTAATAGAATGTACGCAATTTTGTTTATCATTTGTATGGGATTTTGACACTTATTCTTTGTCTGCTATTCGTAAGGTTTCGTTCATGATATCACAGTCAGTGTTGCCGCGACGTCATGAAAAAATGTATCGTAAAAACAAAAAAAATTGGCCAAATGTATAAAATTTTTTTTTTATAAGTATCTAAGTATCAAGTTAGGAAATATTGTTCAAAAAGTGCTTTTTGATTTTATACCACTGCTTTTTATTATTTTCAATAACCGAAAAATCATGTAATTAACATTCATACACATACATACATGTGGATGTTCGTGAAAGAAAATGTCTGACATATAATCACAATCTATCATAATAGAGATTATTGTTTTTAATCTTGTATAAAGAGGAACAAAAATATTATGTATAGATTTCAAAGAAACTTGAATACATTTACGGTAATTATCAAATTATGTGATACACTCCACGTTAAACTCGTTGTAAATTATGTTAAAAAGCTCAAACTAAATTCAGTCTGGACTTAATTTTGACTATGAATACGCCCTATTATGTTCTCAACAGTATATAAAAAAAGTCTATTTTTATTTCCATATTGGATCAATTTTAAATCTGAAAATACACGCTCTGCAGTCGCAGAGCTATGTACGAGGCTAGTAAAGTATATTAAAAATGAATGCTCAGCTCATTATACATATGTAGTTCGTTTAAAGCATTATTCATTAAGCTTATTAGACCCAGAGGCGTAACAATAGGGTGACATTGCTGGCAAATGCCACGGGCCTTCGATCCGAGAGGGCCTCGGCCCAAGAGAACGCGAGCCCAGAAATAACCTAACAATTTTGACAACACTAACAGCGAAAAACATTAATTAAACTAGCTCTAACTGGCACTTACCTATTGATCGTTAAATCTGTTAATTAATGTTTCCTCTCAGAGTTAAAAGATAAGGGCTCATTAAATTTAAACATGGCCCTAGGGGCGGCTTGTTTTTGTGGCATCGCTCACTTTTTCGTACGCTTTGAAATCAAATATTAAAAAAGTATTTATATCATTTTACGCACACTACCTCAACCGTCGCAGTGGCCCAGTGAGTAGAGCACTGGCAAGCCATTCGAGAAATCCGAGTTCGAGTCCTAGTGCAAAACATTTTTTTCGCTTGTTTACTCACTATTATTTTTCTTGTTAAATTTTTAGAATTATATATTATAAAATTTTTTGCTCTTTTAATTTAATTTTCTTTTGATTTGTAGATTTTATTGTTTTTAAATGGAAACTTATTTTTTAATTTAATTTAATTTTCAGAAACTGTTTGCAAAAAGAAAAAAATTTTCTATTCCGGCAACTATCTTGTTTCGAATGACTTATTGAAGGATCTGCTTTGCGTTATTCCATTTATCTTTTAGCAATAACTTTTCTAAAAACTAAACGAAACAAATTAATACAATAAAACTAAAAATATAAGTAAAAAAGAAAAAAAATGCAGTTTATAAATATTAAATGAAATTAAAAAACATTTATTTTTTAAACAATAAAAGTTGAAAATTAAAAGAAAAACAAAATAGTTTAAAAAAGAAAAGGATTTTTTTTTAATCTTTACTGAGGAACACCTTAAATAATCATTAAACTACTCTCAGTGCAGCTGTAAGTACCTAAAATCAATTAAAGTGAAACACAACTAAAGGCCATATGGCCAACATTTTTGTCGTTAACGTTACAGTCGCGCGAATATTTCTGTTTATCTATATATAAATACGCCACAAGAAAATTTTGCAATCCTCTTTATGAAGGCACTGTTCGCTCGATTTTAATGAAACATACACCGATATAAAAGATATAACTTCCTCTAATCCAGAAATGTTAATCCCGATACATAGGGGGCCTGGCATCTGACATATAGACTAAAATGTGGAAACCACTATATCTCTAAAACCAATTATGCTGGGGAACTGAAACTTGGCACAGATGCATAGATTGCAAATACCCTACTAACGGTGAAAAATGGTAGGTACCGGGAAAGTGGGCGTATCACCTCCCATACAAACTGAAATTATCATATCGCTTATCTCTGGAACCACCTATGCTAACGTCCTGAAATTGGACACAGCAACATATGTTGGAAATACCGTACTTACGGCCAAATATGGAAGATTTTGTATAGGGGGGCGTGGCACCGCTCATACAAACTGAAATTCTCATATCGCTTATCTCTGGAACCACCTATGCTAACGTCCTGAAATTGGACA